GAATTATTAAGGGATTCAAGGTTACTGAAGCCATTCCTAACTATAAGCCTAATCAAAAAGAAAACTTTAGCCTAATCTTCAAGGTAGAAAGGCTTTCTTGTCCTAAACTTCTTCCAAGGCCTGATACTGTAGACTTAAGACTAATGACTTATGAGTGTGACTCATTTGCAGAAAAGAGGACAAGCCTTAGCATCTGTTGGTGTTGCTTCTTTTGTTCAGTGATGTACTCTAAATCCTTTATAAAACTGATATATCTCTTGGGTAATTATCACAGAGATGGACTATGATCTTAAGTGGCATGGTTTGCTGTCACCATTCATGGTCTCCATTTACCTGATTGGTGTACCTGAACCTCTGAATAAAAAGATAAGTGGACCTTGAACAGGTTGTTGAAGGACAAAATGGCCGATCAAAAATGTACAGTTCGCCACGCTGTCATATTTATTTTGAGGGGGAAAGAGGAGGGGGTTTGACTAAATGATAAGAGAGAGATTTTTCGTCCCATTCCGAAGGCATCGTTTGAGGGCAATTTCCTATGTAGATCTTTGGTCTTAATTTTACATCCGTAGCTAATTTTGCAAGGTGTACCCTTCAGATCAATTATGTCTGAAGTGCTTATTTCACATAGGACCAGATGGCTTGTGGTAGACTCGTGAGATTGAAATGAGCCTGGACCCCATCTCAGTGGTGCATCGTTTGATATGTGATGCATGCATATGTAAAAATGTTCAGTGGATGTTTAAGTCCCCAAATTATTGAGTGCATTTGCTGCCTTCGAGCAATTTTCCATTGACTCTGAGGCTGCACTAAAAAGGCTGTCACTGTAATTTGAAACAGGAAATAATTGTGATTCTGTGGCTATTATGTGACAATAATGACTCGCTCTTCAAATTATTTCCACAAAATTCAATGTGTATGAAGCATAGGGTCTCGAAAAGGCTAATTTGATTCAGGACCTGTCATTTACTGTCAGCACTAAGTTAAGCCTTAAATCATCACACAAATCCAAGTGGTGCAGAAAGCCTCCCATACCACGTAGAACGTCCTCAGCCCCGGCTCAATTCAGATAGCAATTGAGGTGAGCTGAGTGTTTATCTCAGTAACAACCAGACCAGGTGACTAACGTCTTGTCGTTTTGATTTGCTGAAAGATTTCTTTGGAGAGCGTGGCAGAGAGGGTGAGACAGTGAGAAGTGTCACGCCCCGATTCAGGAGACGGGCTTGGCAGGCCTGATGTCGCTGTTTTGGCTGACTGTGTCATACCTGGAGGGAACGCGCGGCTGTCGCCGCTACACTATGGCCAATTTAGCTGGAGCACAGCTGCTAAGAGGCTCCCTGAGGTGTGTGTATGTGTGTGTGTGTTTCAGGATTAGCCACAGCACCAATTAAAGCTTCACGCTGGTTTTTAAAGGATGAATTATTAACGGCACAAGTGGCCTCTCTGGTGGCCTTTCTCCTGCCTCTGTCTCTCCAACCTTCATATACCTTTGTAAAACCGGCACCCTCTCTCATCTTCTGTTTCTCTGCTTATCCTTTATGCCTCGCAATTTCTTTTATTTAACTATTTTTACAATCCCTAATAGATTATTGAGGGTTTTTTTAAGTTATTTTCCTTTTTTATGGTTTTCCCCGCGTATTTTGTCTCATCAAAGTTTGCAAGTTTTAACTTTCCTTTTCCTACCAGGCTAAGGGGATGTTACCACAGATAAGGTTCTTATTGAAACACGTATTTGAGAATGGTTAGCTTCTTGTAGACTAGAATAGAATAGAAGAGAATAGGGTAGAATAGAAACAGCCTTTATTGTTCTGCAAAAGGGAAAATCAAGTGTAACAGCAGTAACAGATATAAAGGTTCACGCAGAAAGTTCTTGAATTGATAAAAACAATGTATAAAGAAATCAAATTAACAGAAATGGCAATGATAATATCAATATACTGTACTAGACTATAGCAGAAAGTACTGTGCAGCTATCAGAAAGACATGACTTTCCTCCCTGAATCGTTTGGCGTATCGATGTCTTCAGGATACAGTTGAGCTCGATTGTGGCTTTATGCAGCCTGGCTGTGTTCTCTTTTTTCTCCTTTTGCTCAATAGCAAAAGCATGTTAGCCTGTAATGGATACTTTTAGCCTTTTGTAGGTAATTTGATCAGGCTTTTAAATCAATCCAAGCACACACGGCGTCTTGGTTATGATCTGTGAACACGCTGAGAGCTGCTCCCACTGTTCAGCTTTGTTGCCTCCTAAATGTGTGAGGCATGTATCTTTCTGATTAGAAGAATTGTTTGGTTCTGCTGTGTGTCATCTCTCACGAGGACTAAGCAGGTTAGACGGGAACAGTTTAAAAATCTGAAATCAGTTTAGCACGATTGTGTATCCTGTGGAAGATGATTTGGCGTCTCCTCATTTTACAGCTTTCACACAGGTACAGTTTTGTTTCAATAGCTGACCCCATAAACATACTTCAGGATTGCAGCACAAAGAATAAAAAGATTACCTTAATCTCAGAAGTAAAATACCAGGTGTGAAATTATTAGACTAAAATGCACATGAGTTAAAAAAACTGAGTTATGGATTTCTCTCAGCACCATATTTTTTCTACGCGTTTCTGTCTAATCATCCACCTGAGAAATAAAAAAAGTAACGATTTGACTGAGTTCTTCCTTTGTTCTGATACCTTTTTATGGATTTTCCCGGTAGATATCCTCAGGTCATCATCTGATCTCAGTCAGCAGGCTTGGATTTCGCTCAATATGTTCTTACGCTGTGATCTCTTCCTCCCCTTCCCTCTTCCTACCTCCCTCTTATCCCCATTCCTTCTACCCCTCAATCTAGCTCTCTCATTCCCTGAATATTTGCCCCTCTCAGATTTGATGAAGGAATTTAATTAGAGCAGCTAAGGAAGCAGGGAAAATGAGGAAAATAAATGAAGGAGGGAGGTAGAGTAATAATGAATGGTCAGTGACCCTCAAGAGTACGCAGGGTAAAGATAACGGTGTTTGAGTCAGATTGGGTCAGTCTGAAGGATAGAGGCGTATTGAACCTTGTAACTACATTAGCAAAGGCTGTAAAGATTCAGAGGTGCATTGATGCTGCAACAGTGCTTCGCCTACTAGTGAAATTACCATTGAACCCTGCAGTGCGCATGAAAAATCATAAAAGGAGAGTAGTGTATGGAAGGCATCACATTGTAGAGTTTCACATATACTTTGCCTCCATATCTAAGATGTTCTTTTCCCAGAGCTCTTGTTGACAGCCTTTATATGTTTTCCATTAACAGTGTATGGGGAGGTAGAGTCCATCAACCCAAGGTTTGTTTAAAGTGCAGCTCTGTTTTGTGTTGCACAGAGCTTGCACACAAATGGTACTGTTGAAGACAGATGGACATGTAGTTGCAGTGTTTCCGATTCTTATCTTCAAATCTTAATGCTCAGTTTCATGTAGGTTTTGCTCCCCTCAAATATTTAATGTAACATCGCTTCAGACAAACCTCTGCAGTTGCACACATTCATTTTTGAAACACATAGATATATATATCAAATATATATACACATATATATCAAAGTTGTCCGTGTGAGCGTCCAATGCTGATGACTCTTTTTTGTATTTCCTGTTTTATCAAAAGTAATAATGTGGACTTGTCTGTTTGACACATGCTTACTATTTCCTTGATTGCTTACTTTATCATATGCGCACTGAAGGAAATCCACTTTGAATGTGGCATTTTAATGAGCAGGATGAGGATAAGCAGTGATTTTGGACACATTTCAAAATTCCAAATATCTGTTTTAAAGCCTTTTATAGTCCAGTCTTATTAAAAAATTCTTGGAGGTGGTGGCAAATCTTTGTACAATGTTGTTTCAGATGCGTAGAGAAGAGAATATGCGGTTTACCTTGGATGCAAAGCGTCCAAGATGGCCCCTTTTTTAGCTCTTAATTTAACAACCAACTCTGTGGCCAGTTTTGCCTTATCGCTGTTCCACAGAGGCTTATCACTTCACTTTATGCTTTTTCTCAAGTGTGTCGCTTCGCCTCAGCTCATGACTGCTGATTGAACTTGTATTCAGCCTAGTTTTTAAATCTAATATGTTTAATCAAATTGGTACAATGAAATAAAAGTCTCTCAAGAAATGCCAAAAGTGCAGGCATATACACATGGCCTTTGTACCGCTCTTGTTTTCTACTTAAAAATATTTTTGAAGTAGGCAGGCTGTAGTGGCAAGGCCAACGTTTAAGAATAAAAAATGACACAGATGAAGTAGTGTTTTTTGAAAGGGGAATATCATCATACTATAAAATTTAAAATGTATGTAATTAAGTGATAACATGGGGTAATGTAATAACATGTAATAAAGTAATAACATGTATTCAAGAAATACAATTCCTACATCTACAGACTATTATTTGCTTAAATTACATACTTTATGAATTGACTTGTAATATTGCTCTTTCTATTAGAAGAGTCATTCTAATTGATTCACTAATGAAAGAAGCCCCCCTGTTCCAATATACAATCACAAACCCGAGCACATGTGCCTGTCCCTGTTATTCAGCTTCTTTTTTGTCTGATAAGACAGTTTGAACAAACACAATTTTTTCTACATTCATACACACAAATACACAATCCAAATCCTATATTTTCACGTTGTCATTGTTCCTGTGGAAAAGCATTGTATAGTCTCCATTCTTTAACCTGACGCTATATAAGCATTCTGTATGAGAGCATAAGAAAAACTCTCTTATTCTGATGTTAATTCGACTGTCTGAAAGGACTGCTGGAGGATTGTTCTGCCTCATTCAACAAAATATGGTAAAAAGTCATTTCTGGGATTAAAAGAAAAAAAAGAAAAGAGCTTCGCAGTGGATTTCCAGGACTCTGTTGTCATGTCTGCAGTTGCCTGTTGGCCTCCTGTTCATATGCTAATGAGCTGAAGCTTGACTGTTTCCTCATGTTTTAATCTCCTGTATGGCGTACGAGGGGGAAGTGGTGAGTGGGCAGAAGATGGGAGGCATGCGGGCACGAGGATGTGATGAGACAGGAGGAAACGAGATGATGGACATGGAGAGAGGAGAGGGTTTTGTCAGCAAAGCAATGGAGGGGAGGTGAGAGTTAACTACCAAAGAGGAAGAGAAGAAAAGCCAAATCTTTTAGAAGGGCCGTGAATAGGTGTGGGACATGGAATGTGATGGGATTATTAACACGCAAGCAGGCAACAATAAGATAATAAAGGATTTAAACCCTGCTGAATGATGAGCAGCAGATAGGGATTTAGAGTTAACCTGATGAGGAGGCATCCAGAGTTCATTAGCTTTGACAAAGAATGTTTTAATAAATCCTAAATTAAAAAATCTAAGGGATGTCTCTGAAGAACAATGAAACCACACATTTTCCTCTTCTATAGGTCTTTATTAGAAAAATCCTGATTCACAGAGCCCATCCATTGCTGGTGTGCACGCACATACTTGTGGGTTGAAATACTGACCAGGGGGCAATGAGAGGAGGAGCGACAGAGAGTTCCTTGAATAAACTAGCGTTTTATTAGCATAAATATACATAATAAAAGAGCTTTGTGCAATGCTCCTCTTCAATATGCATGTCCCCCCTCACCCCCTATTTTGTAACTTGCACTCTCGAGGTCATGCAATTTACAAGTTGGTATGTAGCATGAGTTTTTTTTTTCTGGGAAGAACTCAGAAAAGTGAAGATGAAAATCATCTGGGTGGGTTTGAAGTATAAAGTAAAGGAATGTTTTAGTTGGACGGCAGTCAGGAAGAAATTCCTGACTCCGTGAGAGAAAGCAAAGTCAGCCACTTTAATGTGGTCAGATTTGTACGCCGCTGTGATTGTTTCTGATAGTAAATACAGCACTTGTGCAGGAAAATAGTTGGAGTAGGGGCATGGATGCAAGCTAGCATGTGCACGGTATGTTTTAGGAATTAATGTATGCAACTGCAGAAGTGTGCCTGAAGCGATGCTGCATCAGACATTTGAGGGGTGAAAAATGTTTTTCTCCCAAGCACACATTAAGCTTTATATTTTACTGGCTTTTTAATGCACTGAACATCTTGTAAAACCCAAAGTCCTGCAGATGTTTTGCCAGGATGTTTTCTACATGGCAAAAAAAAAAAACAACCTAAATTTGTGAGTTGTTAGTTTGTTGAAATATTTGTTTAACAGTTGTGTCTGCACGGTACAAATTCTTTATTCTTTAAAGACTTAAACAAAGCTATAAAATACACTACAAAACATTATGAGTGAAGCATAAAATTCAAACAGACAAATGTGCACTGGACATCTCTTCTCAAGATTCTAGACATCAAGATTCTCATTAATTGGTTACAGACACACATGTCAGGATTGGCTATCAAAGAAAACCTCATCAAAGGCTAAGTCTCTCTGAGTAAAGATGCATTATGGCTCACAACTGTGTGTCAAACCTGTTGGTAAAACTATTAATCAGTAAATATCCAATGCAAAATTGTATAGAGTTTTTTTTCTTTTGACACCTATAGAGCATGATACTTTGAAAAGATGATCAGGGTTTTGAACATTTCAGTGTGTTAAGTTCAAGCTGAGAACCACTGCTGAATGTGCATAATCTACCAGCCCACAGGCAGCGCTGTGTGAGAAGAGGGATGCTACCATGATCAATATACTAACATGATTTGATAAAGTCTTGGAAAGGCATTTTAACTAAATACAGACCACAGCAATGTTCAATTTTATAACTTCCAACTGTATTATGTAATAAAGAGACTGTCAAAATTCTGCACAACACACTGCACAGTTCTCTGAGCACCAGCTCATCTCAAACGGAGAGAAAAAAAAAAGCGAACATGTATTATGTGGTCAAACGTATTATTTCGATTTAAATTTGTGGGGGAAATGACATCTGGCTCTGCATTTTGAAGATAGGAAAGGCATTCCAGGCTGAAGTTAATACTGTCAACCAGTGGCCATGACATGATGGACTTCCACATTTGTGAGATACCACTGATTTAGAGGCAGGTATTGGAATGCTGGAGAGATGTCACCATCAACAAGGTCTGTGGTTATCGTAGCGGGAAAATACCAGACCTCGCTCTGAGCAGCTAAAAAAACAAAACAGTGTGGCTTATCGAGCAAAGCACGTGTGCTCATCTGACTCGCATGCAGTCCAGTTCAGCCTCCTATTAAAAACATATGCAGCATTGTGGAGAGAAGTTCCTATTTCAGAACTGCAATCAATCCGAATTTCTGAGTTACAAATCTATGAAATGTTTAAAAATGGCAATCTTTATGATGATAAATAAGCTTTTGTCCCAACTCTTAGTTTGCTGCTTGCATCACAATCTAAATTTGGCTCTATTTCATAAAAAAGAATGAAGATGCAGAACATCTCCACATCCTTATGAATCCTGATACATAATTTGGCACTAAATAACATTCGAGCCTCTTCTTTGACACACATTTTTGGAGAGGGATGCCTTTGCACAAATTGCTAAATTCTGCTGAGGCTGAGACCTTCCGTTACATTATCTTTCCATGTAGTGTCACAGGATATTCCCAAATGTTGAGTGTTGCTGCACGAGTTGGCAACCGTGGTTTTCCCGTAACCTCCCCAAAATAAACACACACTTTGCCTTGAGCCTCATTATCAATAGCTGACCAAGCTAATTCAAACTTGTATCACGCTCAACTCAAACAGCTTACTCGTATGCTTGCTCAAAGCCTATAGCTCACCTCTGCCTGACCTGCGCAAAAAAACACAGCAGCGGGAATTTTCTGAGAGTTCCGCAATCTACCACAGTCCCTCTCCATCACCTCCTTATCTTTCACCAGGTCACCGAGCACCGAGTCCAAAATGCATGTCCTCCGGGAATGTTTGTGCAACTTGTTTATGACGGACAAAGTGTGTGTTGATGCTGTTGGAGGCTGATGTTAACAACAGAGATAGAGCGCTGGAAAGCTGGAACATGCCGTTCCGCTGGGGAGCAGCGCAGTTGGCCTGATCTTCTGAGGGGAAACGGGGAAGGGGTCACAAGTGAAGGAGGCTGGGACAGTGATGAGGGAGGAGGAGAAATGAGGGGAGAGGTGAAAACTAGACAAGAGAGCAACAAGAGTGAGAGGACTAAGATGAAAATATGCAAAATCAGCATTGCTGTAAATACTGATACACAACAAGTACAAAAACAAAGGAAGATGTACTTTTTCAGAGGAACAATTTGGCACTGGTGCGAATGTTTCGTATGAAAGTTTTTGATTAAAAAGTTAACAGCTTAACAAGTAGAGTTACTTTGTAGAAGTAAGCAAAACAAGGGTTCACATTACATAGAAATACTCCAGTGTTGTTGTTGTTGTTAGTTTTATTACAGAAGCTACACTCCAATCCATCCATTTTCAGGATTTTTAATTAAAGAAAATAATTTTCACCTTCTGATTGACCGGACGAGGGTTCTTAAATCTGGGTTAATGAAATTCGCAGTTATCCTGGTAAAACCTGATAGCCACTTATTTCTGCTTTGAAAACTGCAGTGTGTGTGCAGAATTAAAGAGCCTCACATTACAATAATTATGCTATTGTAGCTTAAGGGTATGGCTAAGTCTGCTGGTGTGCTTACAAAATGCAGTGGTCTAAAGCGTGTTTCCACTGGCACACAGCAGCGCTTTAGTAATACCAATACCAGGACCCCAGCAGAACGCCACAACAAAGCCTGTAAACAATTAAACACAAACTTGTTTGACAGACTAATTATTGTATGTAAAGGTATATTAGTTTAGAAATCGCCTTTCTCTGCCTGAACAAACGGACATAATATGAAATAATAGCTACATAGTGGCATTTTGTTGATAAAGAATCAGCCGCAGTCTGTTTCTAAATTTGAAACTGTCAGTATATGAATGTATTACATTAATGTACGTTTTCCTGTGGAATAATGTCCACTATTCTAGTCTTGAGTCATGTTTGTTTAGTCATACTGAAAGCAAGAACTAAGAAGGGATCATACATTTTCTGCTGGTCATAAATACAGTAAACAAATACTGTAAAAACAGCAAAAGAAACAAAGCACTTGTAGAAAGTATAGCAATTTTAGGAAGCCTCACACCTTCCAATTTCCTCTGACAGAGGCCTTCAATAACACCATAAAGGCAGTTTGTCATTAAACAATTCTGTCTGTTTGTTTGAGAGTGGCAACATGATCTAATCTGAGTTTCCACTTGTTATACCCACAGCTGTCTGTATTGTATTCCTCTAGCTTTTGTATTCACTGTGAGGCCTTCCAGGCCAGAATGAGATGGCTTTACACTTGCCTTACACTTGTTCTGTGCTTCAATTAGAAAACCTCCCCGTACAACTGAACACACAAGAGCTGCTTATGTTCATAGTATGTATGCTGTATTTTGAACGTTCCAAATCTAAGGACAGATTTTTAAAGCTGAGCCACTGACGACAAGGTCTAAATCTGCCATTTATGTGAACGTCCTTATATCTAAAACAATATGAAAAAGGGTTACTTTTTAAACTCATGATTATTAATGTGCGTTGTGTAACAAAAAAAGCCCTGCAGATCCTTCACTTAGAAAGCTGGTCATGTAAATTGTCCTCATATTATTGTTTAAATCACCCTGCAATGTACAATATTCTGGGTGTATCGGTTGACTGATTGTAGGTTATATAATATGTGTAACCTATACATTCTTTAGCTTGAGGCATGGAAACCTTGTGTTAAATATGATATCATGAGCTTGTCTCCAGGGAGGCTGTTATTACCTGTGTACAGGATTAACCATACATCAGGCAATTTACAATGCCCTCTCCCTCATAAATATACATTTTTCATCGTTTAAATATTTCTCAGTGCTTGTAAGATAATTCAGCTTCCTGAATACGCATAATTTATGTTAAACTAAAACATGATTTGTAATCACTTTAACGTCTCTGACAAGCAACTCTCACAGCTTAATTTAACTGCATGTGTCACTTCCAAACGGATGGTATATTGGGGGCTGTGTTTCCATTCCAGTGTTTTCATAAGCTCTTCTTGAAACCCTTCCGCTGCCGTGTTTAGAAGCGCTGAGAGTAAGAGAGAATCTCAGTACTGAACCCAAAAATAGCCCGCATTCTTTCCTCTGTGTTTCAGGAAGCATCGGAAGAGGCTGGAACAATCCTTTCTCTCTTATGTCCGCCATCACCCCTCCTCTTTCCCCCTCCTCTTTTTTTTTTTACATAATTCTCTTGATCAGCAAGCCATCCTTCATCTTTTCTTTGTCCTTTTTTAACTCCTGTCTTCCAACCTGTCATCCAAAGTTCATCCCTATGTGGTACTACGCAACACCTTCCGATCTAACTCTCCTTCCACATCATTCACGACTGTCTTTTGTTCTGCTTTCCCACAGTAAGGGCAGAAAACTCCTGATTTAATAGCTGCACATTTTTAAAGAATAAATGATGCAGCGCTTTCAAAGTAGAAAGCATATTATGAAGGCTAACATTCATACTTCCAAATGTGTGCAGTTATTTCAGTCGTGTGCTTTGTGGTTTTGTTGTGTGCCAACCTGTTGAACAGTCAGATAAAGAAAATGAGCAGAGACCTGAATAATCTGTATCTGCTGTACCTTCTGCTTTTAGTAAGCTTCATTTGCTGTCAGCAGATAAGCTAACAAATGTTGCCTCATGGCAAGCTAATTAATTCTAGGAGCACTCCCACCCCCCCTTTTAGTCAAGCTTTTTTCAAGTACAGCTCTTTGTGGGATGTCACAAGTTATCTCAGCAACTCCAATGGTGCGTAAACTGGTCATGGAAAGTCACCGCACCAATTAGCACTGAAAACATCATTTTTGTTTGGGTGCATGAGGGAGTTTTCTGTCTGGTGTATATTATTGTTTCGGAAATCCATTCAATTTTGGTTTGATTGAATTAAAAAACCCACTTGAATTGTGATGAGACTTATTGTCCGTGTAACCCTGAGCAGGAAACGGGTGCAGAATTTGGACGGACACTCTATAGGATGAATAAAGAAATTAGTTAAAAGAGAGATATTATACAGTAGTTTTGACTGATTGTTTTTCAATTTTATTTTAGTTGATTTAATCATATAAATGTGTGAGATATAAATAAAGTCAATCATCTAAAAAGAAAAAAAAAGGATAATTTCCATATCAGTCTTATTTTGATCATGCAGGGATTTCTATGTGTGCACATGTATTTTCTACACAGTCAACGCGTTTCATCACTAGGGATGAAGAGCACAGAATTTTTTGCCCATATCTGACATCCTAGGTACCCATTTCCATGTATCTGCTGATTTAGATCATGTGGTGAAAGTGATATTATCTTGCTAAGCAAATAACTAGAAATGCCAATAGCTGGCTTGTCACACTGAAGTTTAACCAGAAAGTGTGACAAACACATTTTTTGTAGTAAATACTGTTTTATTAGCTGAAGCAATTTTTTGTATTTCTGTTTCAACAATGTTTCAAATGAAATCTGTGTCATAGTTGTGCTCACCAGGTAGTCAGCATGCACATGCATGATAGTGCGGTGCAATCTTTTGCGGTGGGCTACTGTTGAATGGCCCGGTGTGCACCAAATCCAGCAGCCCAGTAACTGTGTTAGCTTTGTGTGACAGTTTGTGTCTCTGCCTCTGAGCCTTTTTTCCCCCCACTGCGAGAGCTGCTTCACTGTACTAAGTGTGTCAACAACGCCAGCTGAGAGGCAGCCTTCAGTTTACACACGCAACTGTCGACTAATCCGTGAAGAAAGAAACTGAGAGAGAGAGGGAGGGAGCGAGGGCGATGAAAGCAAAGATGCATAGAGACGATATGTAGGGAGGGGAGGGGCACAGGTGAAAAGAGCAAGAGACCGAGCAACAGCGGAGTCAAAATTGACAGTGGGTGACAGAGGGAAAAGATAGCAGGAAGCATGGATGCCAGTGAGAGATTTTAATGTTTCAAAGGATTTCCCACACTACAGCCTCTGACACATTACACACACGGCTCACTATCAGACCAACCCCGACAGCTGCACAAAATTGGCTGAAAGAGGTTCCCTGGGCAAGGCCTTTGATCAGATGTGTGTGTGTGTTGCTAAACAGAAGAAAAGAGGGAGATTTTATACTTTTGTGGATACCTGGATATCTGTGTAAGTGCAAAGATGATGCAAATGGTGTGTTTTTGTGTCCACATAACTTCACGAGCTCACACTATCTGGGTAAGCATTAAATGTGTTCGGCACATGTTTCTTTTTAAAGCTTTTATTCGGTGATATCTTTCGTTCAGATTTTTTGCTTAGGGGTCCTCTCTGTGTGTGACACTTTCCATCAAGCGTGCATCAGTCATCCTCATGTTATCAGATCAGGCTCTGAAGAGCTGTGGAGTTCTGTATCACAGTCACAGAGACCACGTACTTCAACACACACGCACCTTTGTAGAGACTATTCACTTCTTCTTATAATGCTACGTTTTGCACTTTTAGAAAGTACCTCCATATTCTTTACAGGTTCTAACATGGAACCATTGTTCACTACTTGTAAGAAATCATTTTATCCATAAAAATCATCACGTGTATTGTGACTCAGGGTAAAAAAACAAAACTAAACACATGGTTACTGTTTCGTTGCTTTAAAGGCTTTTTATGCGAATGTACTACGTTTTGGAGTTGTGGACAAACAATGTTTTGGTAAACCTGAGCTGGTGAATATGAGACAGGCACCATCTACCTTTTGTTGTGTGTGTTGTACATGTGCTGATCACTGTTAACGCAGCGAGCCGCCAGCATGTGTGTGCTTTAGTTGCATGCCAGTTCTGAGAGACCTACAGCTACAGGTAATGGATTAATATCAGAATTGGCTCAGGCTCCACATTGCTCTGCAGTGACGGCCTGTCATTATCGCAAACACCAGCTCACACATGCTCACCACTTATCCACACATGCACGTTTCCACCAGAATTCAAGCACCTTCTGCCTCAGCTGGTTCTCTCTTTTCCGTACACCCTGTCTTTCTTTTTTAACTTGTTAGTTGAACTTTTTTGTGAAGCCAAACGTCAAGCATGACATCTGTTGCGGGCCAGTGTGGCTGTTTCTCTCCAAACATTAAGACTGTTTCAGCGCTGTTGTCATAGCAGCCATCGAGCTTGTTTACTTCCTCCAAACTTAACCTAATAGTTTGCCTAAGGCAAAGCAGAGGTGGGTGTTCCATCAGTGCCAGACACTCATTAATCCTCTCACTGCCCTTCCTCTCTGCCAGAAACGGTCATCTTATTAAGCCATTTAGGCTGTATTGAGCTGCGTAATTGGACAGTGGAGGCCAATATGAGATGTTTCAGTAAGTTAAAGGGTGATTTAGCATTCATGCCAGGATTAAACTCTGGATGGCCTCTTTTGAGCACCTACAGCAGGACGTGAGATGGAAATCCAATAATACATATTACAGGATTGAATACGGTGCTGTTTGGTTTATGACTTTCCACATAATAAATGTTGGTAGTTTGACATTATAAGGTCACCGACTAGATCTTTATTTTATTTTTTTTAAAACATTCTTAGACTGCATTTGTTTGAATTAGAAGTTACAGAATCAGAAAATCGGGATTTTAGAATGACACATAGGAAATTTCCTCTCACTTTTAATGTATGCCACTTGATCCAGATACTTTCATACACATAGGTTCACAAGACAGATAACACACTTGTCACTTTCTAATACGGTACAGAGAAACAATAATTTTTCTGAAACAAAACCAAAATAATTTCAATTTTCAACAGGTACCTCCTTTTTTTAAAAACAATAACTCTTATATATTCTTGTTTTTGTTATTGGTGTGTGTTTCTGTAAAACTCGGAGCCATAATAATCAAGCTCTGCAAATTTCTCATATCCTGCTTCCTTAATTTGATGTGCTTCCTGCTGAATCAAGAAATTGGTGTGGGACAGGAAGAGACAAATCCAGCAGGATGTGGGTTTGGTGGATGAGAATGTTTTGATTAGGTAGGATCAAGGGAGGGAAAATGGAAAAGTTTTTTATTTTGTCATTTTTTACAACATTTAAACCTACCAGAACTTTGAACGTTGTGATGTCGGTTGAGGGGTTTGAACTTTTTCTTGTCTTTCTGTCTTTGCAGCAGTCTTATGCTCCTCCTCCTCCACCTATGGCTCCACCCAGCCCCAGCACCACTGGAGGAGGTGGGGGTGGGGGTCACGGAGGAGGGTTGGTGGAGCAACTCAGTAAGACCAACCTGTACATCAGAGGCCTGCCACCGGCCACCACAGACCAGGACCTTATCAAACTCTGCCAGCCGTGAGTCCTTTTATATTCCG